AATTTTTCATAAAATGATATTATATTTAAATTGAAAACATTTCATTTTTTTTAATCACTCATTTTTTAAAATAAATGTTATTTCATCTATTTTCATTTCGAGAAAATGGGGGCCAAATGAGGGCTAAGAAAAAAGATGTTGGATAGTAATTTTTGAAAGAATATGTAGTTAAAAAGATGGGGGAAAGTTTTAAATTTATGTGTAAAACATTTTAAAGTAATTATATTAAACCTTGTTATGTTTTGCCATGTGGCACTGATTAATTGGACAATTTAAGAGTCTGTTTGGGGGTAATTTTGAAAATTGATTTTTTGACTGTTAGAAAAAAAATGAGATTCACCTGTGAGAGAAGAAGTCAAATATGATGACTATAATAGTGAAATAACGGTCAAAAATCAATTTTTTGAAGAAAGAAATTCCTCTTAAACAGGCTCTAAATTTTAAATAGATTTTTATCTAATTGACATTTGACAATAATGTAAATGTCAACCAAAATGTAAAAATTTAGTGTACAAATGACGGAGTTCAATAATATTTTCATCATAAAATTTATTACAGCATATTATATAATTACAATATTGTAATGTATTCATCGTCCCAATTTTATTCATCATTTTTCTCATCCCATTATTTGATCGGTTTATTCATTTTTGGCGTTTTATATGGAAGCAAATGTAAAAGATTAAAGATTTTTTCCTTTAATTTACTAAAATACAATTGAAGAATTATTCTTCAACTCTTAGATCATGATTCACATAAGTTAGTTGTGAATAGGTACTGTTTGGCATTGTGCTTGTTCGATTATTCGCTTCATCATACGTCAATTAGTTTTCCTAAAATTCATAATCATAAGAATCAAAACATAAACTTATTCAACATTTTTCTTTTAAGTTAACACAATTCATCATCATTTTCTTCTTAATTGGGTCTTAAGAATAACCACAAGCCCAAAGGATATCCATCGTTTTTGCCTTCTTACCTTGGTCATAAACTGAATCACAGATAAATGGGATACCTTATTGACGAATGAATTATGTGTAATGTCATTTAGTCTCATTGGGTTTCAGTCTCACTTTAAGCAATTTTGATATTAAATTTTGTTATATACCAATTTAATAAAAATCGAACATTGATCTGGTCTTCAATTTAACTAAACTTTCATGGTTTAGGACATATATAAACCGATTTGGGTAGTTCTCGTCCTGTTTCATTATAAATGGACCAAATACTGATCCTGTCCGATTTACTAGTTCCTCGCCTGTTCGATTTTTGATAACTACGTCTGCAATGTATTTTATGTCTCATAATAGGTTCAATTCTTCTACCCTACTCGGTAGATATCCTATCCCAATTTATGTTTTGCTAGGCCCATAACTGGAAAGCTCGATTCCGGAACGCCTCGAAATAATACTTGGAGTGGAAGATTTCTTTTTTGTAATACTAGTATATTTTCCTATGCTTTTAACACTTTGATTTATATGATCAGCTTCGTTTTGAGGCACCCTCTTGTTGCAAGCTCGGTTTTTGGAGCAACATAGCCATGGCAAATTGAAGAAAAGAGAGAATTGGTCAAAGTGATCGAACAAAAAATAATTTAGAAGTTGTTATTCAATTAATTCTTTCTTTTCATTCAACTAAAATTCCTTTGAATGATATTAGTCTCATTTCTACTTTCTTGCAAACTAAGTTATACAACTTGATTTCGGAACATCCAAGTACTTTATCGAACCTATACATTCAAATAATTTGACCGAAGAAAATGCTTCCTATTCTAGATTAGTAGTCCGAAAAAAAATCTCAAAATAATAATAAAGCATGTTTGGCTACTTATATATTTTACTTATAAGTAAAGAGAGATGAAAAGTATCAAATAATGAAGCATGTTTGCCTACTTATCTATTTTGCTTCCTATTCATTTTTTCTCTTAGGGTCAGTTTGATTGCAAAGGTGGAATTTGGGTGGAAAGAAAACGAATTTCAGGGAATTGAATTGATGAAAAATTATTTTTCTGGGAATTGTAAATTATTGTGTTTGATTGGTATAATTTTTTACATGGAAAATATTTTAATTGAAGTGTTTTTTGGTATCCGTTTGTCTTTGTTTTACATGAAAATTGTCAATTAAAGGGATATAATTTACTGGTATTGGGAATGAAATTTGTTTCCATTGCCAAAAAAATAATAATAATAAGAAACTCATCTATTTTTGGATGTTCGTTTGGCTTTATTTTACATAAAAATTGTCAATTAAAGGAAAATATTTTTGTACAGTAAATCTTAGAATTTGTTCCTACTGCAAACAAAAGAAAAAAAAAGAAAAAAAAAAGGTGTTAAACAAAGAAAACTTCAATTCCCAATAAAAGTTAGAAAATGTAATTTCATAGAAAAAAATGATATCAAATACCCTTAAAATTTAAAATTGGAGTTGATTTTTCACTTTTGATAGAAAATTTTGGCCTATCAGACGGTGCTTAGGTGAAATAAGAGAATTTTCCTAATTTGCTAAATCTTTGTTTCTTGTCAGTGCTCCTTAACTTTTCACTTCTACCGAAAAAAATTCTTTCACCCTTCCACAGCTTCTAACGTAATTAATGTACAAGCCCTGAAAAATAATCCATTTCCTAATTTTTTTTTTCAAAAATATATCTGTCACCACATTCCAGTGGCTGGCTCTGGATACCCTGTTATTGCTGCATCACTTTCGAGGTTCTTTATTTTTTTTTTTTTTGGTTTTTTCTTGGCTATATGTACAGTCATTTGAGCTTTGGAGCCATTTTTGGTTGATTACTATTGCGATTGTTGTATAAATTGGGTTTTTTTTCTTTTGTTTAGATATAGTCATTTGAGCTTGGGACCAATTTCTGGTTTATTATTATAGAATTATTTATTTATTTTTTTGGGTAATTTGTGGGAGGTTTTGGATGGGTTCGAAGCCGTGGCTGTATCCGGCTCCGACCTATCGTCCGTTAGAGGCCTATTGGGACGGCGATGAGGACGCGCCACGGCCCCGCTGCGGTCACACTCTCACTGCCGTTGCCGCCACCAAGACCCATGGCCCCCGCCTCATTCTCTTTGGCGGCACCACCGCCATTGAGGGAGGAAACGATGGTGCCCCCGGCATCCGTACTGTTCCTATCGAATTCTCTTCCTTTTTATTTTGCGAGTTGTGTTGGAAGTTAACTTTTTTGTTTTAAATTTGATTTTCAGGGTTAGCTGGAGTTACTAATTCAGTTCATTCCTATGATGTTCTCACCCGAAAATGGATCCGGTATGTTCGATTTTAGCTCCTTCAATTTTTACGTGTATTTTTTCCAATTTATTTTGTGGGAATTTAGAATAATCCACTTCAAAGTAAATGCTGATAGTATCTTTTTGTCTTTTTCTTTTTTCTTTCACATTATTTAGACTCCAACCAGCCGGCGACCCACCTTCGCCTAGGGCTGCACATGCTGCTGCTGCCGTCGGCACCATTGTTGTTTTTCAGGTGATTGGTGTGCAAAAAACTGTAAATTTAAGCAAAAATTGATGCTTTTTATTTTTTGGTTTAAGATTAGTTTTTTGAAATGGATTGGAACACAATAGTTTCTGCTTTGCTAGGGTGGTATAGGTCCCGCAGGGCATTCTACTGATGACTTGTATGTGCTTGACATGACCAATGACAAATTCAAGTGGCATCGGTAAGCTTCTAGAATATAGTTGCAAATTCTATATTTCTTTCCGAGAATGGTACAATTGATTTTCTTGATCTTTGACTTGGCCGTTGCACTTTTTGGAGCTCAGAGTTGTAGTTCAAGGACTGGGGCCGGGACCTAGATATGGCCACGTCATGGACTTGGTTGCGCAAAGATACCTTGTTACAGTCAGCGGCAATGATGGTGAGGTCAATCTTTGATTTTCAGTCACCCTTCAATGTGATTTTTCATTATATAATTTAGATTAAGGAAATCATGTCATTTTATCAATCGAAATCATAACTTTTTCAATCTTTTTTTCTCCTTTTCTTTTTATTTTCTGAATATTCAGGAGCTAAGTGAAACTGGTTGCACTCAAGGTCCTGAAAGAGTTCCTTCTGCAAATGAAGAGACAATTGGTCTTGTGTCCACCCTTTCTACTCACGATCCTCTAATAATTGGCTTTGAAATTGCCTTGATGGCAGGAGTTGTCACATGCAATAAAGTTTTGCTGTTTAAAATCATGAAATTGAGGCTTAGTTGATAAAGCTTGCCACAAGAGTTGTTTTCAGGAATGAAATTAGGAATTATTAAATTATATAAAAGACAAATATAAAAATTAAATAAATAATTACTTTACCTTTTTTTAAAATGTAAAGACTATTATATTATTTAAATAAATTTAAAAAAATAAATTAAAGATAATTTCATAAAAAAAATTGAATCAACATTGTTAATTTTACAATATTTCAATTATTAAATTATATAAAAGATAAATATAAAAATTAAATAAATTTGAAATAAAAAATTAAAGATAATTTCATAAAAAAAATTTGAAAAAATAAATTAAAGATAATTTCATAAAAAAAATAATCAACATTGTTAATTTTACAATATTTCAATTATTATATTATATTGACAATGATAAAAAAAATTAAATAATATAATTACTATTTAATCAAATAAAAAATTTAATTAATTACAAAAATTATAAAAAAAATTAAAATTTAAATATTATCTGGGCCGGTGATCCGGCCCAGATACCCGACTGTGTCGGCCCAGACAGTGTAACAGTCGGTAACCCGACTGTTACAGTTGGTTTTTGGCTGTTCAGGCCCGGTGGCCGGGAAACGGCCGGAAACCGCCATTCCCGGCCACTGAGCTCCAAAAAAATGGCAAAAAATCACATTTTTCACATTCCAACATGCCCACAATCTAGCTACTCATGCCCATGGATCTAATTTCAACCAAAATTACTAAGGATGCTAACTATGAAAAAAAGCATTCGAACTGGAGTTTTGATCAGAAAACTAACCGGTTCTTTTACTTCCACTGTAGATGATGATCGTTCATTGCGACGTTGGTGTAACTCCGGTGGTCGGTCCGTCGGATTTCTCCACTGGTCGGTCGGTTCGGTCGGTGAGAGAATTATCAAACAGTTTGAAGGGTAAAATGGGAAAATACTGTGAAGTTTTCTTTTTAACTTAATTTGTTTTTTTTTTAATTTATTTAATTGGTCAAAGGCCAATGTCAATTTTTGCTACAGTGTAAGGGTCATTTTTGTGTATTTCCTCGCTTAGTGACTTGTTTTTAGGCGCTGCATTTCACGCGCGAATTTTAATTTCAAAGTACAATTCAAATTCTAAAGCCGTCGTTTTCAATTTTCAAGCCACGTCATCGATCCGCGCCACTCCACCATTCACCAATCAATTTCTAACACACCACTCAGCAAATTCCTATATAAACCCTGTGCACACCAATCCATCTTCGTAAAATCTCAGCGTTTTCTCACGAATTTCGATTCCAATTTCATTTACTTTCTAGGGTTTGCAGTAAAACACAAATCTTAAAATGAGTTCAACAGGCGGAGCCTCCACCAAGGGCGGCAGAGGGAAGCCAAAGGCCTCGAAATCCGTATCCCGATCTAGTAAGGCTGGCCTCCAATTCCCCGTTGGCAGAATCGCTCGATTCCTCAAGGCCGGAAAGTACGCCGAACGTGTTGGCGCTGGTGCCCCCGTCTACCTCTCCGCCGTCCTTGAATACCTTGCTGCTGAGGTGGGTTAGGGTTTTTGGTTGTTATCAATTTGTCCATTTTTTTTCAGTTTGGTATTTTATTCATTGGTCCTGATGATTCAGGTTTTGGAGCTTGCGGGAAATGCTGCCAGGGACAACAAGAAGAACAGGATTGTGCCTAGGCATATACAACTGGCCGTAAGGAATGATGAAGAATTGAGCAAGCTTCTCGGAAATGTTACAATTGCAAATGGTGGGGTTTTGCCTAATATACATCAGAATTTGTTGCCGAAGAAAGCTGGAGGAAAAGACAAAGAGATTGGGTCTGCTTCCCAAGAGTTCTAGAGTTTTTATGTATTATTTTTGGCAGTTTTGATGTTCAGATGTTTGGTTGATTAAAAACTTATCTTATTTTGCTATAATACACAGAACATATTCATTAATTATAAGAGTCTATTACTTAAACGTCATTAATCAGTTATTCTTACATTATGCAACTTAAGAAGTAGTTGTTCTGTGTTTTTCTATTTGGGCAATTGCCTTGTCTGCAATATGTGGATTGACTCTGATTATCATTTGGCCTATAATTTATAAAGAACTAATCTTTTGAATTCAATTGGATCCTAATATCATTATGTGCTCTGTTTTCAAATGTTGAAGATGCCAGTATGCTGTGGTGAAGGTGGGTTCAGTTGGCTTGACCTCACTTGCGTGTGGTTTTTGTGGAACAAGAACCACTAATTGTTACTGTTTGGTTTTTCTTGACTTGGGTTGAGTTTGGAGGCACTGGTTAATGTTTTTGCTATATCCGAGTCCAAGAAATCTTTGTTATAAATTTTTTTGGCAATTTCTATTCAGAACAGTTTCTTTGTGAACTTCATGGTTTAGTGTGCTGCTCGATGATGTTCTTTACTTGGTAGTGCTGATTAGTAAGCGCTGTCATTGCTATTTGCTGACCTGATTTGTGCCCAACAAAGAATAGTAGTTCTGAGGCAGAGTATACAAATTCTGAGTTAAAGATGGGAATTTTCTTAGTATTTATTTTACATTTGCACTATCGGCATTCAGATTCAATGGTGATTGTCGTGACTTGCTGAGGTTTAGCTTATAGGTGTGCAAAAAATTGCCAAATTGTGAAATCAAATTGAAACCAATGGTTTTTATTTTAGTGAACTTGTCAATGTTTCAATTTAAACCAAACCAAACACCATTTAGAAATGGGTCGATTTAGATTGTTGAAAATTGATTGAAACTGAACTGTTTATATTTTGGCATTATTTTAACTTAGATCGATAAGGTGTTTGTAAATAAGTTGGAAGCTCAAACCTGACTGTATAAGCATGTTAGGTAAGGTGTTCGTAAAATGTTTTTCTGTGTATATAGCCCTTGGTCGACGGCTGTTATTGATCTTCCATTTGGCCTCATTAAATTTTATTTCTCTTTTTTATTTTCAATCACAATTTTTCATAAAATGATATTATATTTAAATTGAAAACATTTCATTTTTTTTAATCACTCATTTTTTAAAATAAATGTTATTTTATCTATTTTCGTTTCGAGAAAATGGGGGCCAAATGAGGGCTAAGAAAAAAGATGTTGGATAGTAATTTTTGAAAGAATATGTGGTTAAAAAGATGGGGGAAAGTTTTAAATTTATGTGTAAAACATTTTAAAGTAATTATATTAAACCTTGTTATGTTTTGCCATGTGGCACTGATTAATTGGACAATTTAAGAGTCTGTTTGGAGGTAATTTTGAAAATTGATTTTTTGACTGTTAGAAAAAAAATGAGGTTCACCTGTGAGAGAAGAAGTCAAATATAATGACTATAATAGTGAAATAACGGTCAAAAATCAATTTTTTGGAGGAAAAAATTCCTCTTAAACAGGCTCTAAATTTTAAATAGATTTTTATCTAATTGACATTTGACAATAATGTAAATGTCAACCAAAATGTAAAAATTTAGTGTACAAATGACGGAGTTCAATAATATTTTCATCATAAAATTTATTACAGCATATTATATAATTACAATATTGTAATGTATTCATCGTCCCAATTTTATTCATCATTTTTCTCATCCCATTATTTGATCGGTTTATTCGTTTTTGGCGTTTTATATGGAAGCAAATGTAAAAGATTAAAGATTTTTTCCTTTAATTTACTAAAATACAATTGAAGAATTATTCTTCAACTCTTAGATCATGATTCACAAAGTTAGTTGTGAATAGGTACTGTTTGGGATTGTGCTTGTTCGATTATTCGCTTCATCATACGTCAATTAGTTTTCCTAAAATTCATAATCATAAGAATCAAAACATAAACTTATTCAACATTTTTCTTTTAAGTCAACACAATTCATCATCATTTTCTTCTTAATTGGGTCTTAAGAATAACCACAAGCCCAAAGGATATCCATCGTTTTTGCCTTCTTACCTTGGTCATAAATTGAATCACAAATACAGGGATACCTTATTGACGAATGAATTATGAGTAATGTCATTTAGTCTCATTGGATTTTGAGTCTCACTTTAAGCAATTTTGATATTAAATTTTGTTATGTACCAATTTAATAAAAATCGAACATTGAACTGGTCTTCAATTCAACTAAACTTTCATAGTTTACGACATATATGAACCGATTTGGGTAGTTCTCGTCCTGTTTCATTGTAAATGGACCAAATACTGTCTATTAGATCGTATTAGTGTCCGGTTTACTAGTTCCTTGCCAGTTCGATTTTTGATAACTATGTTTGCAATGTATTGTACGTCTCATAATAGGTTTAATTCTTCTACCCTCCTCTGTAGATATCCTATCCCAATTTATGTTTTGCTAGGCCCATAATTGGAAAGTTCGATTCTGGAACGCCTCGAAATAATACTTGGAGTGGAAGATTTCTTTTTGTAATACTAGTATATTTTCCTATGCTTTTAACACTTTGATTTATATGATCAGCTTCGTTTTGAGGCACCCTCTTGTTGCAAGCTCGGTTTTGGAGCAACATAGCCATGGCAAATTGAAGAAAAGAGAGAATTGGTCAAAGTGATCGAATAAAAAATAATTTAGAAGTTGTTATTCAATTAACTCTTCCTTTTCATTCAACTAAAATTCCTTTGAATGATATTAGTCTCATTTCTACTTTCTTGCAAACTAAGTTATACAACTTGATTTCGGAACATCCAAGTACTTTATCGAACCTATACATTCAAATAATTTGACCGAAGAAAATGCTTCCTATTCTAGATTAGTAGTCCGAAAAAAAAATCTCAAAATAATAATAAAGCATGTTTGGCTACTTATATATTTTACTTATAAGTAAAGAGAGATGAAAAGTATCAAATAATGAAGCATGTTTGCCTACTTATCTATTTTGCTTCCTATTCATTTTTTTCTCTTAGGGTCCGTTTGATTGCAAAGGTGGAATTTGGGTGGAAAGAAAACGAATTTCAGGGAATTGAATTGATGAAAAATTATTTTTCTGGGAATTGTAAATTATTGTGTTTGATTGGTATAATTTTTTACATGAAAAATATTTTAATTGAAGTGTTTTTTGGTATCCGTTTGTCTTTGTTTTACATGAAAATTGTCAATTAAAGGGATATAATTTACTGGTATTGGGAATGAAATTTGTTTCCATTGCCAAAAAAATAATAATAACAAGAAACTCATCTATTTTTGGATGTTCGTTTGGCTTTATTTTACATAAAAATTGTCAATTAAAGGAAAATATTTTTGTACAGTAAATCTTAGAATTTGTTCCTACTGCAAACAAAAGAAAAAAAAAAGAAAAAAAAAGGTGTTAAACAAAGAAAACTTCAATTCCCAATAAAAGTTAGAAAATGTAATTTCATGGAAAAAAATGATATCAAATACCCTTAAAATTTAAAATTGGAGTTGATTTTTCACTTTTGATAGAAAATTTTGGCCTATGAGACGGTGCTTAGGTGAAATAAGAGAATTTTCCTAATTTGCTAAATCTTTGTTTCTTGTCAGTGCTCCTTAACTTTCACTTCTACCGAAAAAAATTCTTTCACCCTTCCACAGCTTCTAACGTAATTAATGTACAAGCCCTGAAAAATAATCCATTTCCTAATTTATTTTTTCAAAAATATATCTGTCACCACATTCCAGTGGCTGGCTCTGGATACCCTGTTATTGCTGCATCACTTTCGAGGTTCTTTTTTATTTTTTTTTTTGGTTTTTTCTTGGCTATATGTACAGTCATTTGGGCTTTGGAGCCATTTTTGGTTGATTACTATTGCGATTGTTGTATAAATTGGGTTTTTTTCTTTTGTTTAGATATAGTCATTTGAGCTTGGGACCAATTTCTGGTTTATTATTATAGAATTATTTATTTATTTTTTTGGGTAATTTGTGGGAGGTTTTGGATGGGTTCGAAGCCGTGGCTGTATCCGGCTCCAACCTATCGTCCGTTAGAGGCCTATTGGGACGGCGATGAGGACGCGCCAGGGCCCCGCTGCGGTCACACTCTCACTGCCGTTGCCGCCACCAAGACCCATGGCCCCCGCCTCATTCTCTTTGGCGGCACCACCGCCATTGAGGGAGGAAACGATGGTGCCCCCGGCATCCGTACTGTTCCTATCGAATTCTCTTCCTTTTTATTTTGCGAGTTGTGTTGGAAGTTAACTTTTTTGTTTTAAATTTGATTTTCAGGGTTAGCTGGAGTTACTAATTCAGTTCATTCCTATGATGTTCTCACCCGAAAATGGATCCGGTATGTTCGATTTTAGCTCCTTCAATTTTTACGTGTATTTTTTCCAATTTATTTTGTGGGAATTTAGAATAATCCACTTCAAAGTAAATGCTGATAGTATCTTTTTGTCTTTTTCTTTTTTCTTTCACATTATTTAGACTCCAACCAGCCGGCGACCCACCTTCACCTAGGGCTGCACATGCTGCTGCTGCCGTCGGCACCATTGTTGTTTTTCAGGTGATTGGTGTGCAAAAAACTGTAAATTTAAGCAAAAATTGATGCTTTTTATTTTTTGGTTTAAGATTAGTTTTTTGAAATGGATTGGAACACAATAGTTTCTGCTTTGCTAGGGTGGTATAGGTCCCGCAGGGCATTCTACTGATGACTTGTATGTGCTTGACATGACCAATGACAAATTCAAGTGGCATCGGTAAGCTTCTAGAATATAGTTGCAAATTCTATATTTCTTTCCGAGAATGGTACAATTGATTTTCTTGATCTTTGACTTGGCCGTTGCACTTTTTGGAGCTCAGAGTTGTAGTTCAAGGACTGGGGCCGGGACCTAGATATGGCCACGTCATGGACTTGGTTGCGCAAAGATACCTTGTTACAGTCAGCGGCAATGATGGTGAGGTCAATCTTTGATTTTCAGTCACCCTTCAATGTGATTTTTCATTATATAATTTAGATTAAGGAAATCATGTCATTTTATCAATCGAAATCATAACTTTTTCAATCTTTTTTTCTCCTTTTCTTTTTATTTTCTGAATATTCAGGAGCTAAGTGAAACTGGTTGCACTCAAGGTCCTGAAAGAGTTCCTTCTGCAAATGAAGAGACAATTGGTCTTGTGTCCACCCTTTCTACTCACGATCCTCTAATAATTGGCTTTGAAATTGCCTTGATGGCAGGAGTTGTCACATGCAATAAAGTTTTGCTGTTTAAAATCATGAAATTGAGGCTTAGTTGATAAAGCTTGCCACAAGAGTTGTTTTCAGGAATGAAATTAGGCTTTGAAAAAAAAGAAAAAGAAATCTCAATTCATGCTTAAATAAATATTAATAATTATTGGATCTTTTCCATTGTTTCATGCGTGTGTAATTTTCAGAGTAGGCTTGAGCTAAGATAGATTTTTCTTTCTTTCTGCTGGCTATTTCATTCACCGCTTTACATGTATTATGTATGTAGAACTGTTGGCTTCTAGTTGACACCAGATAACGGTTTATGTTGATTGCTACAGGTAAAAGAGTGTTATCAGATGCCTGGGCTTTGAATACTGCTCAAAAACCATATATGTGGCAGAGGCTTAATCCGGAAGGTGATAAACCTTCTGCAAGGATGTAAGTTGCATTGCATATCTGAATTTGAATTAGCAGTGCTTCGCTTTTGAACAACTTTTCTGCCATAACATTCTGGTTAGTAGTGTGCTTCCTTTCACACTATCGTTGAACTCCGCTGCTCTACTGCTCATTTATTTTCTATTGCTGCATGAAACTTAATTAACCAATTTTTAGAGCATGTTTGGTTAATCCTAGAAAGTAAACTTACCTATTCTAATTTTTTTTCCCAAAAAGTAATTAAACACTTGTAAAAATTAACATATTATGCTGGACTGTTTTAGAAAAAGTTACTTTTGAAAAACAGCCAGATCAGTTTGGGAGAAGAAGTTACTTAAAATAACTTATAAACATCCAAACATGCTTCGCCAAGCTTAAAGTACTTTTAATTAACTTTACTCATTTCTTAGGCTTATCTAAACATGCTCTTAGAAGATCTCAAGACAATATTATAACTGTTTCTTGAGGAAGGTCCCCACCATTAATCTGTTCAGACTTTTAACTTGTCACTACAAAAAATTGGAGTCTTGTACATGTGAAGCAAGGTCGTTGACATGCCATGGAAATAGTTTCTGCACTGTGATTTTCTATTTCTTCCCTGAAAATCAACCCATGATTTTCTTTGCTCCATCTTCTGGTTTTTTCATCTCATAGATCACTGCTTTTGAATGTGGAACTAAGCACCCAAAGTCCAAACTCTGCTCCTAAAATAATTCTATTTTTCTTGGGATATCCTCCTCTATTTCCCACTTTTCTTCTAATAGGTACAAGAAGATGATCACAGATAAAGTTAAGTCCCACATAATGTATATTCTGAGAAATTGTAGGTTGCTGTTCAATTGCACCAGTATGCTCCTGGAGAAACTATCCCAAGTGAAGTTCAGTGTGTTGGAGTTGTTAATCAATACACTAAATCATTCTCTTGTTCCTGAAATATAATTAACTGCATTCTTTAAGAAACACATGTTTAGAAAATTTATGTTCCATATGTAGGTACGCGACAGCCAGTGCTAGGTCTGATGGTATGTTTCTGCTTTGTGGTGGAAGAGACACTTCCAGCACGGTATGGTTGATTTGATTTTCCTCATACTTAAAATAGTCATAGGATCCATTTCTTGTAACCAAATCCCAAGGTAATAGATTTTAGAAAAGGAAGGGAATTGCAAAAAGTCAGTTAACATTCTTTGTCCATATGTAGGTACGCGACAGCCAGTGCTAGGTCTGATGGTATGTTTCTGCTTTGTGGTGGAAGAGACACTTCCAGCACGGTAATGTTGATTTGATTTTCCTCATACTTAAAATAGTCATAGGATCCATTTCTTGTAACCAAATCCCAAGGTAATAGATTTTAGAAAAGGAAGGGAATTGCAAAAAGTCAGTTAACATTCTTTACATTGAGACGGTGCTTGTTTTGTTGTCTCTACGGACTTTCATTGGGATGAGATTATAAGTTGCTGACCATGTTGCATGGTAGATGCAAAAGAAGTCGAGTTAATTGATATGAAGGTAGCAATATTGGTTAGGCATTTATGTAGCTCAGGTCAATGTCAAGCGATGATAATACTTATTTCTTGAAGCAATGGTATAATGATGAGCCATTTTATTTCCTCATTAGAATGAATAGAGCACATGCTCTTGTCTTCGTGGTAGCGAGTTGAAGGTTTAATATTGAGGCATACTTGACGAAGTGTATTCTACTGAGCCAGTTGTTGAATGTGTGTCTGCACAGCCACTAGCAGATGCTTATGGCCTGCTTATGCATAGGAATGGCCAGTGGGAGTGGACTCCTGCACCAGGCGTGTCCCCTTCCCCGAGGTATCAACATGCCGCGGTAAGTGTTCTATTAAATGACTAATTGCTGGAGCTGCCAGCTGCCTTCACTCTGAAATTTCAATTATCTTATCCATTCTTATGATTATAAGTGTTTCTAATTTAATCTCAATTGGAATTCATTCTTCTGACTTGTGATAAGTAAGCTGTGTTCAAACTGGATTCTTTTGGCAATTGATTTAAGTGAAACTAAAGTAGATTTGTGGAAAAAGAAAAGAAATAAGTTCAAAAAAGGTTGATGCATTATCAAATTTTTCGTGGGGCATCTACAACACTTGCTGTAGAGGAAGGATGCCATTCTGGATTCACACACCCTCTCTCTCTCAATTCCTTTCAGCTCAACTTTTAAGAACCTTATTCAGTCCATTTCATTACAACTCTGTTTTGGTTTGCACGATTTAGCATTCAAACACTTGCAGTTCAATTTGGAGTCACTTGTGAAACTGGAGTTTGGTTGGTTCAGGCCTCATCATTGTCCGCTAAGAGTGGTTCTTACCATTCGAAAACCACATTCTGAAAAAATTTTGGTCTTGTTTATCCTTTTTTTTTTCTTCCTGATAACAGGTCTAAAGTTTTAAAAAAAAAATATTACATTTGATGTCATACACCCTTTACTCTTCGCACCTTATTCTTCAATAATTCAATAAATTTCTTTTATCAGGTTTTTGTTGGTGCTAGATTGCACGTTACTGGGGGAGCTCTTAGGGGTGGACGAGCAGTAGAAGGTGAAGCTGCAATTGCAGCTAATTTTTTAGATTCCTTTCCTGTTTGTTATTTGGAATTGTTATTCTATATATTCATATGGATAGTATCTACATTAATTTCTGATCTTTATTTCTGTTTGAAGTACTGGATACTGCCGCTGGGGTTTGGATAGACAGAAATGGGATGGTGACCTCACGTAGCAACAAAGGACAGGCTGGGCATGATCCTTCTTTGGAGCTTATGCGTCGATGTCGCCATGCAGCTGCATCTGTTGGTGTCCGGATATATGTTTATGGTGGTCTGAAAGGAGGTAAAGATTTCAATTAGCTGAGGCATCCTGTCATCTTTCGACCCCCTTTAACTTCATCGGGACACACCATCTGAATCTAGATGTGCATGACCATGATGCAGCAAGTATTTTTTGATATGATCTGTTTTTGTGAGCAAACTTACTGTTACAGCTTTGTGTAATCTTTCCACTACACCACGCATTCACTTACGAATCCAATGCTTTCAAGCTTATAGAAATAAAAGATTTCACGTTAATTTATAAGAAATGTATTCATGCAAAGGAAAGAAGCGTCCATTCACTTACTGCTGAAAGTAACATCTTTCATTTGTCAACATGACTGCAATATAATCATTATTGATTGAAAAGATGGTTGTATGATATGGTTAATGTGTAATAGGTTTAAAAAGTTCATAATAAATTCTTTGCATCTATTATTTCCTACTTTCTATATTTATTTACCAATTCTTGTACTTTTTAATTTTTCTAATTCCCTTTTTCTGTTGCAGATACTTTGTTCAATGATCTTCTGGTTGCAGAAAATTCTCCATTTCAATCCGATGCCAATTCTCTAGTAACACCGTCTGACAGGGCTTTGACAACTACTAATCTGACATCAAATGCAAGTTTAACTTCGTATTCTCCCACAACAACTCACAATGGAAGATCTGAAATACCATCATCTGGTGGTTTGAGGTTTGATTTCATGGCCTGCCTTTGAAGTTCATCGTGTGGTTTTAAGGAAGTTAATCAATAACTATAAAGAAGTGTTCTTTCGTCATACAGCATGAACAAAAATTCAATGGAGAAACTGGCTGAGGCATCTGCTGCTGAAGCTGAGGCTGCTAATGCTGTCTGGCAAGCAGCTAAGGCAGCATCAGCCACTCCTGAAGAAACATCTCTATCAGACGACACTTCACAAGCAGCAGAAACAACTTCGGAGGGCGGCGACAGTGAAGCTGATGTGCGCCTTCACCCAAGAGCGGTATGTATGTTCACTATGTTGTGGTTTATGTATTTGATACCTTGTATTTTGAGCCATGTAAGCTTACTACCATCTATGCTACAGGTTGTAGTTGCAAAAGAAGCTGTGGGGAACTTGGGGGGTATGGTTAGGCAGTTATCACTGGATCAATTTGAAAATGAAAGTAGACGAATGATTCCATTGCACAATGATTTGTCACATCCAACCAAAAAATTTACAAGGCAGAAGTCTCCTCAAGGCTTGCATAAAAAGGCAAGTTTTACTGAGTTTCGCTTCTTTTCTTTCCACCTACTCAATATAAAAAAGGAATAAAATAAAAAATATACATATAACAAAGAATTGATCCTAATTCTCATTTGCCATGTAAAGCTGCAGATCATTTCTACTTTGCTTAGGCCTCGAAATTGGAAACCACCTTCGAACAGAAAATTCTTTCTGGACTCCTATGAAGTTGGTGAACTTTGTTATGCTGCTGAGCAGATCTTTATGCAGGAGCCAACGGTTCTTCAACTGAAAGCTCCTGTCAAAGTGTTTGGTGATCTACATGGACAGTTTGGCGATCTCATGCGGCTGTTTGATGAATATGGGTTTCCTTCCACTGCAGGCGATGTAACGTAAGTTTGTAGTAATAGATTATGAATAGAGAAGACTCCACAGGGCTTGAGATTAACACACTCCAAAGGGCCTTTTGAATTGTCTTCGAAGTTTAAGTAATATAGTTTCCTCCTATTTTCAGTTTTCCAAGTATAAATTTTCTCCAGTTGGTGGTCATATCTCTTGCTAAATGCTATTATTAACTTGATTTCTATTGCTATTTCGTTTGATTTTGAAAGCTTTTACCAACCGACGGGCTACCTCCTCGTGTGAATGAAAATTTTTAAATTTTCTTGTTGAGTCATTCAAAGGACTTTTTTCTGTTATTTCAGTTACATTGACTATCTGTTTCTGGGAGACTATGTTGACCGAGGACAGCACAGCTTGGGCCTTTTGAATTGTCTTCGAAGTTTAAGTAATATAGTTTCCTCCTATTTTCAGTTTTCCAAGTATAAATTTTCTCCAGTTGGTGGTCATATCTCTTGCTAAATGCTATTATTAACTTGATTTCTATTGCTATTTCGTTTGATTTTGAAAGCTTTTACCAACCGACGGGCTACCTCCTCGTGTGAATGAAAATTTTTAAATTTTCTTGTTGAGTCATTCAAAGGACTTTTTTCTGTTATTTCAGTTACATTGACTATCTGTTTCTGGGAGACTATGTTGACCGAGGACAGCACAGCTTGAGACCATCACTCTACTCCTGGCTCTAAAGGCGAGCGGCTGACTTAACTAATTTATTGCTTGTTTTTTGAATTTGTGTTATTTTATGATCTTTAATTTCCTTAATTTATCTCAGATTGAGTACCCGGAGAATGTTCACTTAATACGCGGGAATCATGAAGCTGCCGACATCAATGCCCTTTTCGGCTTTCGCATTGAATGTATAGAGAGAATGGTATGCATATGTGCAAATTATTTTCCTTTATAGACTTCTTTTTGATGAGTGATGATTGATGTACTGTGTGGGGAGAGAGTGATGGGATATGGGCCTGGACACGTTTCAATCAATTATTTAACCATCTTCCACTTGCTGCACTGATTGAGAAGAAAATCATTTGTATGCATGGTGGCATTGGGAGGTCAATAAATTCAGTAGAACAGATAGAGAAACTGGAGAGGCCCATAAAGATGGACGCTGGGTCAATAGTACTAATGGATTTGCTATGGTATGCTTAGCATTATATTCTATGTTTTTGCATATATCCAAAGCCTTACATTCTATGTTTTTGTGCAGGTCTGATCCCACCGAAAATGATAGTGTAGAAGGTTTGAGACCAAATGCTAGAGGACCTGGTCTTGTGACATTTGGGGTATGCATTGACACACAGAAATCTGGTTGACTTAGATCCATTTTTTAAGCTTGTCACAGATATAACTTTACCTGCATATATTGGCGTTTAATTTCTGTTCAATCTATTATTATTGCAGCCTGATCGGGTTACGGATTTCTGTAAGAAGAACAAATTGCAACTCATCATAAGAGCGCACAAATGCGTTATGGATGGATTTGAACGGTTTGCCCAGGGACAGCTGATCACCCTTTTTTGGGCAACCAATTATTGTGGTAAATGTTGAGAAATCTTCACTTTCACTTTCTTATAGAGCTGGATTTGCATTCTGATTAAAAATTGCATCCAGGGACTGCAAATAATGCTGGTGCAATATTGGTAGTTGGCAGAGGATTGGTCATTGTTCCAAAATTAATTCATCCCTTGCCACCGCCTCTCCAGTCTCCAGAGACATCTCCTGAACGTGTGACTGAGGAGACGTGGATGCAGGTGATCTTGCTGATTTGTCTTGTTCGTAAAGCTTTCTTGTGTTTACCTGTTCGATCCGATTCTCTAGTAGTGAAACCTAATTGGCTAGATGCTTACAAATTATTATTGTTTGATTTGGTTACTTTAGGAGCTTAACATCCAAAGACCGCCTACTCCTACAAGAGGCCGCCCACAACCTGAATTTGACCGAAGTTCACTTGCCTATATATGAACTTACTTGTCCATCTCTTAGTATCACGATGTTGTGCATGAGTGGAGTCATTGCCTAGTCATTGCCTATCCTTGAAGTCACTAGTCAATCTTATAATATCGTGCGGGAGCCTAAAGTCGTTCAGAGCCACGACTTTACAAAGTACAGGTAAGTATTGTGGAGTGGCATTTGCCGTCTAATGACAATGTTGTATTTGACAGATGGTTCCATTTTTGGTCACATATTTTCATACAGAGTGGTAGGTAAGTTAGCAGTTGGACTAGAAAGTAGCCTCTCTCCATTTTGTTGCTTTGTATAGTCATTGCCTATCCTTGAAGTCACTAGTCAATCTTATAATATCGTGCGGGAGCCTAAAGTCGTTCAGAGCCACGACTTTACAAAGTACAGGTAAGTATTGTGGAGTGGCATTTGCCGTCTAATGACAATGTTGTATTTGACAGATGGTTCCATTTTTGGTCACATATTTTCATACAGAGTGGTAGGTAAGTTAGCAGTTGGACTAGAAAGTAGCCTCTCCATTTTGTTGCTTTGTAGATCTTGTACACCCAGTATAAATGCGTAACTGATATACAGATGTATGTGGAGCTGCTGGTTTAATTTTTTGTCCTCCCATAGATTTGTATATTTCTTGTTTATAATTTTCAGAAAAAGTTGTCTGCTGTTTTGAACTTCGAGTCTTATGATCTATTCATGTTAATTAGTTTTCTATTTGTCACCTATTTCAATCAAATTCTAGCCGCTGCATGAGCTTCAATTTCATTCGAAGTTAACATCATCTGATACTATCTACCAAACATGATGAGAAGCAAGCTCATCAAAATAAAGAAAATCTTCCTCCGAGTCGAGCAAATCTTCCAATGTATTGACATCGACCAGTACGGAAAATGAATACATCTTTTACATGTTTCTTGACTCAATATCTGCCACGTCACTAAGCTCATCAACCTCTTGTCACTTCACGGCATTGAAGCCACAATATCGACCATTCTGCCATGAAATTAGTTTGTGAAGGCAATTTTTGCAGCACTGAATGATACAGAAAGTACCACCACATTTGTTGTCCACCTCATGAAAGAGAGCACGTCATGATTTAATACCCCGTCCCTGTGGCAGCTGCTTCAATCTGCGAAAAAATAGGCAAGAAACTCAGAATTCAAGAAACTTGCTCCACATTCTTGAACCCATAATTCAAAATAAAAATTCAGCCACCACACCAACCAGATCTTTCTACATTCGACGTGATCTCCAATTCACCTAGGAGGCAAGGGCAAGGGAAAGAGCTTGTTTGTATCCCATAACACGCGTATGCAACCAAGCTTTTTCTGTGTCTGATCGAAAGTCGAGCCAGTGACTTCCAATGGATGCAGAACCTTGGAAAATCTATCAACTATAAGCTCAATGATGTCCACTACACACATACCCGATCCCTCCAAGTTTTTCCCAGACCATTTGCCTAGGACCTGAAATACCTTACCCTTTCCAACCTCTTCTGCTTTCTCGCCTACAAGCATTACATACTGCCCCGACTCAAAGTGAACAAAATCTGATTGGGTAAGATCTATAGGTGAAATTGAAGCACCAAAGTTCTTGTTAATACTGGGTCTCGATACTGTATCCGTAATTTCAATTTCTCGACCCCCTTTTGTAGCAGATGGCAAGTAGACATCTTCCATAGGACGACAATGGGGTGAGTCAAAATGAAGCGTGACTCCAGGCCCGCCTTGTCTGTCAAGATTGTCACCTTCAGATGGCACTCGACCATCTTTAGCAGCACGGGCTAGTTTGGCTTTTCGGTTATTGAGCCTGTAAAAACACCAAGAACCAGGTTTTTATAACTCACCAGCAAATGCGCTTATGGGTTTATTATATTTTTTTAGTATTTAATGATAAAAAAACAAGAATTTCCACTTCTAGAATTTTGGTTTTAACCAGTAGATTAGAATCCAGTCTCTGGGTAAATATCTCAGATCCAAAAATGCAAATTGCCATCTGAAGCGTGATAAAAAACTCGAAGATGATCAATATCTTTATGTCAAGAAAAACAAGTCAAGTCATATAACTAAGCACCAATAAATAATCCTTGGTAAACTTCTCGAGTTAGAAATGCTGCATATTCACTAGTGGCAAGTTAATTAAGCAGGATATCAAAATTTTGAGGTAAGAGAATCAATCACTTCAACATGCATTTACCTAGTCTTTAAAACAGAAATTATAAGTGAAAGTTCTCTTACCAATTTTTTAGCCTAGAAGTCGTAACCTCAGCACCCTGCAGAAAGGAAGCGAAAAGAATTCTTATAAAAGAAAAGAAACCAAGGTATTGATCTTCTAAATTTTGTAAGAAAATTTTTTATAATAGCATATGAAAACATGTATTCATACGCACGTGAAGAGTTAATTTATCAGCCCAGAATCGTAAGGCAGTTGAATTACGATGCATGTCGGGTTCATCTACAAGTGCATTCTCAATAAGTGCTATCTGTTTATCATTCATGACGGTTCGCTTGCGTTTCCTTTGCTGCTTCTCGTCAGAATGCATGGTTTCAACCTTTTCATCCTCCTGGCTTTCTACAAAACCACTCTCTTTGATGTGATCAACATCCATCCGGTCCACAGAGTTCTTACCTCGTGTGGAACTCGAATCTGATCCACTTGTTTCAAAATTTTGAGTCTCTCTCTCAATTTCAGTGGCACCCCCAGTAGGTTTACCTTGTTCAGTCCTCCCAGATTTTCTTTCCACATTAATTGATTCATCATTCCCATTGATTTTGACCTCCAATCGACTCACTTCTTGAAAAGCATCATTCTCCAATATGCTCTCTTTGACTTTAATGCTTCTATTGTCATGATCCGAAGCTATTTTTGTCAGCAACGGCAAAGGGCATACTTCTGTATTTTGAACTTCCTGAAGGCATAAAATTCAATTTTCAACCAGCTATATAGAACAGAACATACGACTTCAAACTGCACGAATTAAATTTATGGAGTTATCTGATCTCACAATACAGATTACTAAAGAATCGTGCATTAACATACCCAGAATCTCAAGTGGGTACAAAATGGAATAATTAAACGAACAACAATAATATCGCCTCAACGTTCTATTTTTATCTTAGGTATACTGCTCTTTGTAATAGTTTATGGATAGAAATATATTCTTTCAGACTAGAATAAATTATATTCCTAGCATTCACCTGATGACTGATATCAAATTTCTTGTCCCAAGATACAGATCTCTCAAATTTACATTCCTAATTTTCTTCCGGCAGCGTAGTTTGATCACATATTGAGTTGGCGCAAAATGAAATTTCATCATATATATTAATAATGCAAGGCTAAAGATGCATCCACAGCAGAAAATAGAGTAACTAAACTTGAAACAATAAAATTGGAAGCGTATTTATATACAAGGGAACAAAGGTTTTACTTGAATGTGATTATCTTCAGATGCACCAGGAGCAAATAAAGATTCAAATTGACTTATAAACAACCTACAAAGAAAATTCCAGGAAACTGAACATAAAATTCAAGAAAAAAGTAAAATTGTTGCTTGATAATAGCACGCCAGCAAGGTATAGATCAAATCACCTTAGTAGCTGCACATCGTCCTCGTTTAAAAATCCAGGAATCAAGGACTCAGCATGACTCAACAGTGAACCTACATGCAAATGATTCATTGGAAAATAAACACGCAATTTTATAAAGTGGAAGCATCAGCTAAAGGTAGTTACATAAATTCTTGGTAATAGTAATTGCTTTTTCAGCATCAAGAATTGATGATGATGCATCTGATATTTTCTGAGGTTCCTTCTGTAAGCACCGGAAAAATTTGTGGAGAAAGAGATCCTTCTCATCTGGGATTGAGACAAAGAGTCAGATAATATGAATAATTAAAAAGACCAAGGATATCAAATAACAGAAAAACTAAAGGATCTACCTTGACACACATTAGGAACATAGCAATGAAGGTTTGCTATTACTTTAATCAATAACGATGTTCTCTGGTGTGCATAGGATGCTCGAGGTATTCTGCAAGGACAAAAGTTGGTTTTGAATTTTCTGTGTTTAAATAATTTGACAAAGAATGATATTTCAAAACCCATCCAGCAGGTACAAATGAGTCGTACTCCAGAGTCGTATCATCCTCATAAACGGGAAGATCAGATGAACACCAACCAGACAAAAACTCTCCATGCGAGAGTAAAAAGATTGATGCCAGAGCGTCAGTCTGAAGGAAAACATCACAAGTACAGTCACAAATAACATCATCACAAGACCTATTCCAGTAGATAAAACAATACACAACAAATTAGTGTTGGTGACTGTTTGAGATGGAAAGTGACTTCTTTTGGATAATCAACCCAACAGTCATGAAAGACCATAGATAAAATACCATTCCTATAAATATTACAATACCAAGATAAAGTGAGTACATGTACAAATTCACGTTAAGCTATGAATATTGGCTGAAAGCTTACAAAGTTAATCATTATGAAAGACCGAAAATTTGAATCATCAGAGAAGATGTCTGTCAGGCGCATTGCATTCAGTTCCAATTGACCTTTTGGATAGATTTTCTCACTTGAAGCAGTTATCAGTTTGGAATGTATACCAAACATTTTCTTCAGTAGCTCAAGAACCTAACCAAAATAATCATTCAACTACCAATCAATTACACTAGTAAAGCAGGGCATGTAACAAATAAATACTCGAGACTCAGAAGGTAGCAGCAAAAAGCAGGGAAGACCACAAACGATATCAAATGAGTATTATTCATATTGGATCACACTAGGTAAAAAAATATATGGGCATGTTGAAATGCATTATCTACACTGGACACCATCACCATTATCTATGCCTTCAGTTACGTTACCAGAACAATGCTCTCATTAGATGGGTTGCTAATACTCTTTAAAATGTCTAGAAATTCTTGGAAATAAGATAGGGAATGATTTTCGAAATAAGAAGAGAAGAATATACACCATTTTGCAGACCCTTTGAGTGGGAAAAAGAAATCACGTGATCAAGGAAAAAGGTCCCAAGTGAAGAGGATAGATACATCCAGCACTACAACAGGTGGAGATCTTGGCCGGTGAACTTAGCCTAACAACTAACTTAAGAAAGCAGTGTGGAAGACAACGCAAGCTACTAAAAGGTGGAGAAATTTTTGCTACTAATATGGGAAGGGCAAAGAGACCCACAACTTCCACAGTGAAAAGAGCCTGCTTACCCTCTCCTTTCCTCCCCCCATTAGGAGCCTTGTCCTCTTGATACATGGAAAGTATCAAGCGCGCTTATCCTTCACAGAAGCCAAAAAGACTATAAAGTAAAAAGAAGAATGCTGACAGGAGGAAAATCTAGGCATTCCTCTTGAGCCACATTCACAAAATAATCCATCAGCACATGCATAGCAAAACCCTCACCACGTTAAGTATCAATACATAAGCTGTCTTGCAAGTTATGATAAACTTATTCATCCTAAATAGATGTTTTATAAGATTCATAAAACCCTTGGCCCACACACCATAGAAGAATAAATTAGAGCATAGCCTACGATACCTAAAACAACAGCATGGGTTAATAATGCTCAAGACCCTTAAAAGACGGAAGTGAGATGTACGCAATTCCCTCTAGGTACAGATGAATGCAGGTGACAACTTCATGCCAGTAGTTCCTTTACCTTGTAAGATCAAAATATTAATAAATTTATGTAATTGAGTTCTTAAGCCCTGGATGCCAGAAAAGAGTCTACTTTAGTAAGTTTCTTACTAAAAAAAATCATTCTGCACTGAAAAGTGATTGATAGAACATCCATCATTTGTTAAAATTGTAGAATAAAACATTCAATATATTTGGTGTATTCTTTTTTCTTTTTCATTTAAATGTATTAAAATTTAAACCAGAATGGATAAAAAAGGATCCAAAAACTTCATTCCAGGAAATCATTAGTTCCTCTACTACTTTCACAAATCATTTGGGATAGATGGAACTTCAAAACGTGTCCTACCTAGGTATTTTCAATGTCTTCCACATCAAAGCTAAAGATTTCGGTAAAATGATCCCCTATTCTCAAGCATAAATATACTTGCATTACCTAGCAAAGTCTACAGGTACAAAAAGAAATCATATGTAGTCATTATTCTTTGAACCAACCTGTAATGCAATAGACTTTGCCATATCCCGACTTCCAGGATTGCTGGCAACCTCATCCAGGTAGGAAACACTTTCAGCTTCACAAAGGTGCAAGAGCTGCAGAGAGGGGAATTGCAGTTATTTAATGAATGAAGTGCACAACAAAAGATATCGCATGGTGAAAGGAGTAAAGGATTCTCAAAGAACTGGAGACTGCGGTCATGAAATTATGGAAGGAATTATGGAAGGCCATATCCATCACTTGGACTTACAATAGATAAAGCTTTAGACTTCAGGCCAGAGACAGTAGCCATATAAGGGGAGGTTTCACTATAGAATGGTGATATCTTTAAGTTAATGACAGCTTGAGCCAACAGCAGGATACCTCCTTTGCCACACAACTCCTGGAGTAAATATAAACAATCATCAGTGAAAGACCAAATATTCATAATTTCATATGCATGAAGTAATTATGCAAATGAACATCTAATTTCATGCCAAGAAATGTTTAAATGTAATGTCTAAGCAAACAAATTTTATGTCTTCCTTGTCCACGGTATGATACTTCCATTGCAAGGTGATAATAAATAACTCATGGTAGCACATCGACAGTCATACGTTCTTCGGGAGCCAAGATACTTATTACTTAACAACCACAATCATAGCAGATCGGCTGCCACTAACGGAAGTCAATTAGACTTCTTTAATTTTTCGAATTAATCCTTCCCATTTCACACCTTATTCTAGAGTGATTTCGTCCTGCTTATGAGCCAAATACAAGCCTCAGGTCCTACATGGTGAACTAGAACAAGTGCAAGTAGAATAATTCTGTTGTAACTTTACTCAGGCATGGTATATTTCACCATATTCACACTTATAAAGCAAATATCACAATTTCAAACAACTTAATCCACGAAAAAAAGGAAAAACAAGTATTCTGACTGAAAACCTTATTCTTAACAATGCGCTCGCGGAGCAACTTCTGTTGACACAAAGAGTGTAAAAACTTCAGAGAAGATTCACACTGTTGACAAAGATGATTCAATGTTTCTTCATTGGTAGGAGTAATGTTTCCAGAGGACTCAGCACTTTGAGCAGACAACTTGGTCTGGAGAAACTTAATATCTTTACAAACTGCAGTAAACGCTGCTTCCATAAATACGTCAATCTGACACAAACTCTCCATCATCAGCTATGGATTCAACAAGCAACAATTTAAGTAACATACAGCCGAAAACATCAAGAAAGACATTATTGTTGAAGTCTAGCAATATGAATGACTGCAACTAAATGTCAAATAAAGTTCAATGTGAAAGTAGACATGCACTTCAGTCATTGCGGCCATACTTGATGAAAGTTCTTCCGGAACTGCTTATTCAGGCAGTCATATTTCAATAACTTGAAAATTACACTAAAAATTACCTTGTAATACGCAGTCAAAACTTGAGCAACCTCTTGCCATTGTGGAGAAATTATCACAGTTAACAATTTCAGACTGCATGCAACAAGGGCTGAGTGCAAGAGTATCATATCATTGGGAACCTGATGTTCCTAAAAACAAAATGTAGACTTCAGTCAACGTCCACAATAATAAAGCATAACTTATTCAAGATAAGTAGGAATATGTACCTGTCTGTCAGAAGCAAGGACAATTAGCAGATAAAAAACCAGGTCAATCAGTTGTTCTGAAACCTTCACATCATCAAGCAATATCTGTAACATAAGATTTCAAGTATAAGAATGGCCTTGAGCTGTATGTTAATATATTAAATTCAATGCATAACCAGACAAGAAAGAGAGAGTTTATATGTCCAAACACTTATCAACTACAAGAGCCTATGATAGACAGAAAATTCGACTTCCTGGTAAATAGAAGGAAATAGCACATCATCCGTGAATGTTAGGACAATATGAAGCAGATCAGAGCAAACTTCAGAAATAGACTACAGTGCAGAGAAATGAGGTTCATGTTGATAACGACTGCCAAATGCCATTAACATCGAAAACAACTCAGGAAATCCGGTCTTATCATATGCCACAATAAAAGAAACACCATCACAAACTGTGAATAATTACTGGAAAATATACCAAGAAAAATCCATCACCATAATTAACTTGCTAGATGTTGTTTGAACGCTCAAAAAGTTTTGTATTTCAAGGATATTCCTTTAGCTGGTAGTCTTGCTAATACTCATCAAGTAGGTACAAAGGAATATTTGAGCTGTAAAAGAAAGAGCCCAAGGATGGGGGAGGGAAATTTATTGTCACGGTTAAAACCTATGTGCAAGGGATAGTAGAGTAAAATTCCCAACTAATAAATATGTCTTGATACCAGAACTAGCTATTAGATGTAATTAGAACTACATATATGAACATATTGTTATCTATCCCCCTCTTTTTTCACTAATAATCTTCCCTAATGAAGCTACAAGCAGAGCAGCCATGTAGCATTCAGACTGAATCAGTAAAGAAAACATATTTTTCCCAAGCCTATTCCTATTATTGGGAATCATCTTGGCCAAAAATAGTTTTTCTAGCACTTTGCCAATTAGCGATAACATTCATATGGCATTCTTGAATTCCATTTAAAGTATAATCTTTTCACTTTTTATCATGGTGCTAAATTTATAAAACTATAAATCCCCTTGATACAAGTTGATTAGACTAACCATTATTGTCAACTTCTTGAAAATATAAAGGACAAAACAAACTTTTGATAACCTGCTCAATTTTAGGCACCCGAGACGCAAGATCGCACATAGAATGCAACAGGAGGATCCCACATAACAAGTACTTGAATGTGGATTTTTCCCTTTCCCATGCCATAACCACTGAAATAAGGTGCGCAGGAAGATTTCTTGCAAATTTTTCCACATCAATCTGCAGTATTCAGATGGTGTCAATACCTTCTGCAGATTTTAATACCAAAACTCATGACTATTTCACAAATGTGGATATTTTTATTTCTATGTGATAACCTGTACAAGCAATCCGTCTTCAGTACTGTGCTGAAGGATATTGTTTCCAGAATCCCTAATTAGCTTGCTGAGCTGTTGAGAAGTAAGCCCATGTAGTCCTTTTACGGCTGCAATTAAGTCAAGTGCCTAAAAAAAGAAAGGGAAAAGAAGGGTAACAACAACATGATCGTAAGCAACCATTAAAAGTTTTAAAAGCAATGTCTGAGTCCTTCGACTGATTTTGAAAACACAGTTATGCTTTAGCATGAGCTAGAGTTCGTGCACAAAAGTAATGGAACTTTATCTCAATCCATTTTCATAGTTAATAATATCTGAAAATTTCTTTAAAGGAGGACTAGTCATCTAGCTTACTAAGTTCTAGTAAAAGATTCACATGCCCATTTTAACCATTAAATACTGAAATGGTGACAGTTCATTATGAATAATAACTAAACAAGAAAGTAAGGTTAAAAATAGATAAGACCGAGAAATGTAAAAAAGGAAAAAGAAAAAGACATTGGACAACATGCAACTACTGGCGCTCCACAAAACAAAGTACACTTGAAATTTCCTTGAAAGAAACACATCAAAACAAACAATAATACAAAATATCCTTGAAAGAGCCCGCAGCCTATCAATTTCAGATAAATCATCTTACTTCGTCGGCCCTTCTTGCTAGATGAGTTAATTGATCAGTGCTGGTCGATGCATCCTCCTTCAACGACCTCATGCTTCAAAATCTGCAGTCAATATTTCCAAAAAAATTCAAAAACAAAAACGAATACACATACTCGTACGCGAACACATACAGACGAGTTTTCCTTTACAAGGATAAATAAACATGCTCATACCACAGACTGTGTTTGTGTGTGCATGTACGAGATTGAGTTTTGATTATGGATATGAACACTGGTAAAAACTAAAAACAGGGAAAATTCTTGCAAAAAATAATAATAATAATAAAATCTGTTCAAACCCTAAACCAGCGCGAAGGATACTAGGAACACGAATAAAATAAATTCAAAGATTCAAACCTGATTTTTACTGAAACTGAACAATGTTGCGTAGAATCCAGAGAAAAACAAAAACTGGAGAGGAGGAAATCGAACTGATTTGAGAGAGCTGAAGTGCAATTACTGATTTTTATTTTTTAATTTGGAGCCCTTTTAGATTTTATAGTAGTGCCGGGCGGATTTAAATCAAACAAGGGCAAAATGGCGATCACAAAATTCTGGGTTAATTGTTCCAGTGTTTGTTGAACTTAAGTTCATGTCTTTGATTGATCACGAAAGTTTAAAATATCGAGTCTTGATAACTGAACTTAGATCAATGTCTTAAATTGTTCATCGAACTTAAATACATGTCTTAGATTGTTCACTAAAATTTAAAATATCGAGTTTTGACCACTAAACTTTGAAATATGATATACGTTACTCACTAGTATAACTATTAAATTTTGAAAAATATCGAATTTATAGTGAGTAATGTACAATATTTTTCAAAGTTTAGTGAATAATGTATAATATTTTTCAAAGTTCAGTGGTCAAAACTCAACATTTTAAACTTTAATGAGTAATCGAAGACATGAATCTAAATTCAGTGACCAATCAAAGATATTGACCTAAATTCAGTAACCATTGGAACAATTAACTCCAAAATTCTCTGCTGATTTTTTAATGGATAAATATATTCAAACCACAATTTTTTTTAATTACACTATATTTTTATTGCAATATATATATATATATATATATATAATCCCTAAAACTTTCTTATTTTTACACTTATTTTCTCAATACTTTTTAATTATCATAAATCTTCTATTCATTTTCACATCTTGTCGATAGATATGATTTTCACGTCTGAGATTAGAAAGATACATTTTTCTCTCACATTTTAAATAATCGAAACCAATGATGGCTAATATACAAGTTAAACAAGAAAATTTGTCCATTATTTCAATGCATATCGGTAGAAGAGTTGGATGAAAATCATGATTAAAGACAAAATATGTTAATTAGTTGAAGGTTAAGAATGACAATCCGACGCAGGACATAAAAGTAAAAGTGAACAAATATTGAAAACTTTCATTGTAGATAAAATGTGGTGCAATTATAAAAAAAATTGTTGTAGGGATATAATTACCCTCTTTTAATTAATACTACACATTATAATCACTCAGTAACTAAAATATATTTTTAATAAATGCACTAAAAACAATTTATAAATATACTCTTAATCCAATAAAAATTAAAGAGTGATGAACGAATTTACATATAGGTCTTGGCGCGGTTTGATTTGGATCAATTTTTCTCTCCAGCTTGAAACAAAAATGAAATTAGTCGATTTTGATGAATTTCAACCTAAACCAATCCACTTTACCTCTCAAACTGAACCAAATTTAGTTCGACTCGGTTAGTCGATTTGAAATTTTAATCCAAATTAAATTAAAAAACAATTGTTCAAGTTTTGGATCCACTTAAATTACAAGAACTAAAATAATCAAATAATTTTATATTACAAGAACTATTGACTAACAAATAAAATCGGATTAATAGAGACAAATCAATATAAACCCTTGTTTGTCACCCATTATTTGATAAATTAAAGAGTTTGAATATTATGTGTTGGAGAATGTGTGGTTAAAAAGTAAAGTTTATTGATTTATGTGTAAAATATTTTATTGTGTGGATACGTAGTGGAGAATGATATTATAGCAAACAATTTAAAATTTTAAAGGCGGTCAAACAGGCCCTAAAACTCAAAATTTTTATTGCTATTCATGTATTATATAGTTCGATTGCCCAAGTAGTGAAAAAAAATGATAAGTATAACATAATGAGCTTGTAAAAGGAAATTTTCATTACTATTACTTATCGACAACATCATAAATTGCGGTGAATCGAGATATAGTTTTGAAATTAAGGATTATCTTTTGATTTTTATTTTCTTAAATTAAAAAAAAAAAGGGTAAACATGTAAGTGGGTTGTATTAGTTCGGTTAACCAACAATTGGAGACTTCAAATTGACCCGAACCTTTCATGCTACTAAAATGTGTAAAACTCATAGAAATTTTGTGGTGTCCATAGTCGTATCATTATTATCATTGCTCTTTTATGAAAGAGAGGATGTGGCCTTTATCGTTCATTCTTATGGTACCCCATTTCACACTTCATCTAGATAAGCACTGTTCATTTAAAGGTTAACTTTTTGTTTCATTTCTGTTTTTTTTTTTTTTTTAAACTATTCATACTCTCTAGATAATAGCTAGAAATCACAATAGCAATCACTCATTTGAACCACAAAAGCAGCCACTAACGCATTTCTTTAGTTATAACCCTAATTTAATTCTCTCACCATCGGTCGTAAAAAAAGAGACCGTTTAGATACTTCAAGTATGTTGTTCTCTGATTCTTGTAGGCTATTTTTTTTTTCATTTGCTTCAACTATATCATTGAATGTTTGATTTTTTTCTTTCGTTTTTGTTGTTTGAGGTTTTAAAAGATCGTTCTCAAAATACTACAAATTTCAACAGCCATTGAAGCTTACTAACTGCAGGTTCATTTAATTTATTGTTGATTTTGCCCTTTTGCACTTTCATAAGGAAATAGAGATATATGAATTGCATCAATTAGTTTCAACTCTGGATTAATCTGGCTGTCTATTGACGTCTTGTGCTGAAAGGAATTAGCAATTTTCTCTTTTAATAATAATGGAAAAAGATGACAATTTCACATTTGCGAGATTAGAACACTCTAAAAAATGAGTTTAAAGTTCATTCGTCACCAGGTTTTGTAAGAGATAACAAGAAATTCTTTTGATTAGCTACGAATGATATGAAAACATATTACTGTATATGCTATGCTGTATGGTCTGCCTACATATTCTCATTTATTATTTTGTTTTAGGATACTTTTTTCCAGTACCTTTACTCTTCTCCGATTCTTGTTGGGTATTTATTTATTATTATTATTATTTTCATTTTGTTCACTGATTCTTGTTGGTTTTTTTTTTCCAGCTATATCATTGAATGCTTGATTTTTTCTTTCGTTTTTGTTGTTTGAGGTTTTAAGAGATCGTTCTCAAAATACTACAAATTTCAACAGCAATTGAAGCTTGCTAACTTCAGATTCGTTTAATTTATTGTTAATTTTGTCCTTTTGCACTTTGATATGTGAATTGCATCAATCAGTTTCAACTTTGGATTAAGACATATGATTTTAGCAGATATAAACGACTCCCCTATAATAATTTCTGTCTCACAATACATAATTGGTAAATATTTATTATGCACTTTCACAGGGAAATGGAGATATATAAATTGCATCAATTAGTTTCAACTTTGGATTAAGATTAATAAATTTAGCAGATATAAATAACCCCCTCTAATAATTTCTGTCTCACAATACATAATTGGTAAATATTTATTATTGACAGGAACATGGATCAGATTTTAGGGCAATGTGAAATTAAAACACATGCACACATTCTCTGTTTTTGGTTTTTAGATTAAATACAAATGCTTATTTTGCACTTTTATATGGGTTTCAAATTAGTACTGTAATGAAGTTTTTTGCCCTCATAAGTTTATTTATGCTACAATTCTCCTGCAAGCTGGTGGAAAGGAATATCTCAGAGCCATTTAACCGTCGCAGCAATTTTTCAATATCATTTAGGTTAGATTTGTTATTTCTCTATTTAATTAATGCTTTCTAATATCAAATTTACCTATAATTGATGATGGAATTCATGGTGGAGTCAGTTTGTTTCATAGCATTGTTGAATTTTTGTGGGTTTAGTTAGTTCAAATCATATTTCTATTGCTCTTGCATATGAATAGTATGTCTACTTTTATATTATTATTTTTTTTGCATTTTTAGATCATTTATATGAGATTTCCCTCATAAGTTGCGTGAGTTTGAGATCATTGCTATAGTATGAGAATTTTGGTAAGTTGGTTTCATTCTATTACCGATCAGGAAAATCTTAGATAAATTCGACAAATCTAGAGTAGAATTTATAATTTAGAATTTAACTGAACTTAGTCATGCTGGTTGCGTAATTTTTAGCTTGATTTAAACAGTGACTACAATTTACTTTAATTGATTCCTAACGATGTACAAAAAAATCGTCTTCTTTTCATAGTTTTAATTACAATCCTTTTTTTTTTTTTTTAATTTTGAAATTCTGTTTAGCAGTTTTCTTCTAATATTTTAAAAAATAAGTAAACCATGTTTAATTTTTCCGTAGTCTTCCTTTGCTGCTTGTCTCTAGTATATGATGTGCTTAGATTATCTACTTCCAAATCTTTTTGTTTGACCATGTACATATTATTTACTTGGTTAAGACTTGGTCATATGTTTAAGTTAGTATTTATCTGGGAAGGCAATTCATTGACTTGGATATACAATCAAAAGTGCTTTTGATAATGTTAGTACTCATTTCTTTCTCTTTATTGACCATCTGTTCTTTGTTGACTTTACTTTGCCAATTGAAGTATACAATTCACTTTTTCGATTGGTATATTATTTGAATATTTACCTCACGAAGAATAATATGGTCCATATGTACTCTCATGCTTTGATTTATATTGTCTAAATATTTTTATCTAATGTTGCCTATTTCATTAGGACAGTTTGTGACAATGATTGCCATACAAATCTTGTTATTGTTATTTACTTTGTGTGTATAAATTAATCCTTTACATATATGTTTGCACTATGTTTTGAATTATTCCATAGAGATAAATGTACTATTTTTTAAATTTGATCCTATCAGGGGATTTAGTTTGACTTTTGGTTGTACTACTTGTTAATAATTTATTTCTTTTTCAAAAATTCTCTTGCATTTGGTCTCAATGTTTTGTAATAACTAATTTTGCACTGTAGGGATTCACTAAGATTTACTGATATGAAACATTCTCATGCATTTTGTTTTCAAGTTTCTATAATAACTTATTCTTCGGCTCACCAACTTATGAGTACTCCTTCTATGAATTGAATAAGAACCTTATAGAAGATAACTAATATAATATGAGAAGGAATCCCTAATGTGCCCTTTATCTTTTAACAACTTTTTTTCCCCTAAAATCTAAATATTCTATTTAACTCACTGTCTCTACTTGGTGGTATATGTGAGTATGTAACTACGAAGTCTATTTTATTATGAT